CAGAGACTCATCCCTGAAAACTGGTGCTAAGAAAGTGCTTCCCAACTGATGAAAGTAGTGTCAGGAAGGGAAGAACTTGAGAGGCAAAGTTCCACATGGATAGATCTTCAAGAACTAGGGATTTTAGAGATTATTGCTGGTGGCCTCCTGTGTACAGCAGTGCAATAGTGCTACTGATGTCTTCAGTCCTGTACCCAGAGAGGTACTGTGAGCCTTGTGAGTGCTTGGCCCTGAGTGTTTCCAGTCTGGAAATCAACTCTGCAGATCAGTATCACCCTTATCTTTTGAAAAAACAAGATACCTCCAAACACCAGAATATCACAGTGATGAAAATCCCAGCAAAATCCCCAAGGGTCTAATGCCCATGTTACCAGAAGGAGACAAAGTTAAAATGAAAGTCTGCATATTTTTTTATTCTGATGCCCCAGCATAAATAGAAGCAAATAAAGTACTTTGAGTCTGACCCTAAAGGTGCTGACTAATTAGAATTTGTGCTTGAATATCTCATATTTGCCTCCACACTGTTTACTGCTCCATTGCAATAAGCTCTCAATTTGCATACACACACCTGCTCACGCTTTCTAGTATCTTTTACAAGGGCTTGTATGTTAAAGTGAGGAGCCAGACAATGCTCAAGGGAAGAAATGTCACATTTTACAGATGGGGAACTGTGATACAGGCTGCTGCATTACTAAGTAGCTTTCTGAACACGGATATTTGCATATTTGTTCAGAACATCTGTGACTGAAGGTTTACAAGGTTTTTCAGGACTTTATATATCATACAACATCGTTTTCCCACAGTATCTCTCTTCTCTTTGATTCTTCATTGCCCTCAAGAAAATATTTCAAGACAGACCTTTGAACACAGAGGGATGCTCTGTGATCATGGGCTGAAATACACAGGCCCTGTCATCGATGGAGACTACCAAACAGGATGGATCATTTCATGGTGCAGTGAGAGGTTGCTGTTTTAGACAATATTCATGTGATGTTTTGTAAAATTTTTACCACATGTCTTATCATATCTCTTCAGCAGACTTTCTGTCTGAAAGGTTGGTTTTTGCTTCCTTATCTCTAAGCATTTCTTACAGGATGGAGTAAGAGAGTAAAGTCCTAGAAGTTATCAGTGACCTGAATTACAGATTAGACATAATGAGTTCAGAGCCCTACCCCTTCTTGCCAACAGCTCATGATGGCAGCTACTAACACCAGGGTATTAGTATTAGTCCAGTTTGGGATAACATTTTCTCTTTTTGTGCTTCACATTCTTGTCACTTTGAATCATGAGGCAATGCTGCATCCCTCTTGCAAATGGAAGTGTCCTCTCCTGTGCAAAGATCCATTTTCCAGGGAAAGAGGGAGAGTAAAGCCATGCAAACCACCCACTTCCAGCAGGCACTGGAAGAGATGGAGAGGACTGGTATCACATCCTCTAGGCCCAGTTGCAGAAGGCATGCTGGGAGATCCAACTCTGGGGATGCCAGCACCTGTATGCATCCCTGCATGCCAAAAAGATTAAAAAATTATTGCCTCTCTCTGATGCAGTCCCCCCTGGTTTTATTTGCTATCACTACCCAACAGAAATTTGACATTAGATTGTACGTGAGAGCAGTCACAAGGTCACCAACTGCAGAAGAAACTTTTCACAAGTAGGGAGTCTGAGTTCATTCCTATGGGGTTTTGCCAGCTTTGTAGCAAAATTATAGTAATACTCTTGCAGCAAAATATAATACAGACATGAAATAATTTCTTAGGAATAGAGTTTTATAAGTGAGTTACAGACATGAAATAATTTCTTAGGAATAGAGTTTTATAAGTGAGTTACCCTAAACATTTACTTAAAAAAATTGCAGTCTTCAGATATAACTTAAAATTAATGAATAAGCAAACAAATCACATATAATGTCTGTAAAAACTAGTCTGGCCAGGTCTAGTTCATAGCTAGGAATTATTCACTTTGTGTTTTATAGTCGTACTTAATCAGCAATGAGCTTATCTCCTAGGCACATTATAAATGTCTGAGACACATGTAAAAATGAAACAATGTCTTATTTATACAGTAGCCCACTCTTCTTTTAGTCAAATCATGGAAGTTGTACCTGCATAAATGCTGAGTATAAAAGAGTGACATTTTCTAATCCCACCCCCTTACACCAGTGAGTAGTTTACCTGCTCTGAGCCTTATGTGTGGAGACCTGGCCATCTAAAGACCAAATCAAGAGGCACAGCCTAGGTTTGGTTCTGTATTCTCTCCAATGCATCCTATAGCTTGGGCTGAGTTGGGGAAGTTGGGAGCCAGATCCAAATGGGTACAGATCCAAATGGCTGTGTTGAGAACTGCAGATCTGATGTAGCAGGTGAACCTTTCTTCACAGCATGAAGCTGTCCCTGTGGGCTCACTGGTGGTGCCCCTGCAGGAGGAAAGGGTGGAAAGACCCACATAAGCAATCCACCCCTCAGATCTACTCTGAACTGAGAAGTGCTCTTTGCTGTGTGTCTCACTTGTGCCAGTGCTGAGCCCCTTCCTTCACCTGAGTGGTGCAGTCAGATACTGTCTAACAAAAAATAGATTATGTGCTTGAATTATCGGACAAGAAACAGTCACTTTATCTGATGAGATATTTTAACAATATTGAATGTTTCTTGATGCCCTCACTCAGCCATGATGTTGCTTTTCTGTTTATCCAAAGAAGTCAGCATTTGTAGTTTTCCCATGTGGATACATTGCTTGATACCAGGTCCCTAATCCCTTCAGTAATCTATCACAGAGTATTTTAGTTTGGAAAGCAGCCCTGGAGATTATCTAGGTACATTTTTAAATCAGATCAGGCTGCACAAATCTTTGTCATTTCTAAAGTTTTTGTTTCAGAGTGTGCTGGAACAAAGAAACTCCAAGGACTTTCATTAAGAGAAGATGCATAATGACACAGTAATTTAGAACAGCATGCAGCTTCAGTAAGGCAGAGGAACTGCAGCTGTTGAGTCAGACCCTGATAATCCCTGGCCCCTGCATCTATGGCACTGAGTTCCAATGGGTTCACAGAATTGTAGAATATCCTGAATTGGAAGGGACCTACAAGGATCATCAAGCCCAAGTCCTGACTCTGCACAGGACACCTAAGAATCACATCACATACCTGAGAGCATTGTCCAAATGCTTCTTGAATTCCCTCAGGCTTGGCATTGTGACCACTTCCCTGGAGTGCCTGTCCCAGTGCCCAACCACCCTCCAGGTGAAGAACCTTTTTCTAACATCTGACCTAAGTCTCCTCTGACTTGGCTTCAGGACATCCCTCAGGTCCTGTCACTGTCACCAGAGAGAGGAGACCAGTGCCTGCTTCCTTGATTCCCTCATTGACATGAGGAAGTTGTAAACCATGATGAGATCTCCCCTCAGTCTCCAGGCTGAACAGACCAAGTGATCTCAGACACTCCTCGTATCCTCCCCTCCAGAGCTTTCACCATCCTCTTGGCCCTTCTTTGGCTGTTCTCTAATAGCTTAATGTCTCTTTTATATTGTGGCTCCTAAAACTGCACGCAGGACTTGAGGTGAGGCCACACCAGCTCAGCGCACAGCAGGACAATCCCCTCCCTTGACACTCACTCTTTATCAGAAGAAAATTGTCAGAGAAGTTTAAATTCATCGAGGTAAATAGCTAACTTACATCTATGTCAATCAGTTCAGAAGCCTGTACCTCCTGTTCCTTCTAAATTCACTGCTATTCATTCAAGTTTGCTTTCAGACTATGAAAATCCTGAGGTTGGGGCAGTTTGCATGTGTGTCTTCAGAAATGAGTCACCAGTACTCTGGCTGGCAGGGGCTGTCATGAGCTGTGTTCTGCTGCTGCAGAATCCTTTTAGCAATGGAAAGTTATAGATATTCAGCACTTTTCAGGTTTCTCCTTGATACCTTAGAGAATTTGATCTCTGACATACATATAAAAATAGAAATCCAGAATTTTTTAATTAGCATCACCACAGAATTTCACATTTTTCCAAGAAACAACCTCCAATTTAATATGTGGACTACTTTTGAGGACAAAACGATTTCACAGATAAATACCAGAGTCATTAAATAATTAAAAAATGAAATACACAATAAATATAATAAATTGAGGATATATAATTTTGGCATAATGGTTCTTTACAAAACTGTAAGAATATATAAGGATAAAATATAATATACAGAAATACCTATGGCAATTTTAAGATAATAAAAAGTATTGCAGTTTTATTAATATTAATTCAATGCAGAAATGTCAACATCAATAACAATCTCAACATGTCTCAGAAATACAACACCACAGATTAAATGGAATGATGCTATGAAACATTCTACAAACTCGTACTCAAACTGATTCATGATGTGTCTGTTGAATCACATAAAAAGATGAAGTTGTTTAGATGAACACTGCCAGATTTGTATCATTCTTACCTTTTAAATTCTTGTTTGAAGGCACAAGGCACTACTATCAATAAGTTATTAATAACAGAAGTGGCAGCAGCAACAATGAAATTTGCCCCAGGATATCTGAGGGAGTTCCCAGCTGTGGGGAGGAAGGACTGTGCTCTCCAGACTGCCAGCCTTCCATACCATCTGTGAGTCTACCCGTACCTGCTACAGGCTCCTACACAGTAAAAGTGGGATCCATAACAAAAAGGAAGGGTTAGCTTAGTCAGAAACTAAACATGAGTTCAACAAATGTTTGCAGACTGCATAAAAGCAGTCTCTGACTCCACTTGGAAACGTATACATTTTCTGTATATTTCAGTGCGTTCTAGATCTGCCTGCAAAGCAAGTAAAATTTACTAATTGTAAACTACCAAGCATTAGAATTGTACATTTTAAGAATTTCAGGGTAGTGCAGGATCTTGTCTAATGCAGCAGCAGTACTGTTGGTCTGTGTTATCAGGCCATTTTTTTTTTCCCTCTAATTCTCCTGGAATGTGTGATGTACCTGAAGCCACATACTGGTATATGAGGAAAACGTTCAAGGCTCTTGTTGAACAACTTACTCATTTTTAATATTTTCCACTGGTTAACCACAAATGTTAACAACAGAGCACATGTATGAGAACCTGAACATGTACCTCCTCAAGAAGCAAAAATTTCAATCATAGGAATGGTACATTGTCTTCCTCAGCAGTGCTTTTTAAAATTTTGGTTTTATTTCAAATGAGAAAGAGTCAGTCCAAAAAAATAAGCTTTTAAGATCCCAATTTGAGTCAATGTAAATTACTTAGTTTATCCACATATCCTTCGCAAAGCAGTATTTTCACCAATGATACTGGTGGGCAAAGTTTATCGTAGGAGACAAACAGAAATGTGAATTATTGCTCCCATAGTGTCCTCAAGGAGTTAATGGCCCATGCAGGATGCACAAGATGATGTCAGCGTGTAAAAACTTGTGTCCTTCAGCTGGCATTGGGAACTTACTTGTTCCAGCAGCTACCAGCTAGGTGCCACTTTCCTGGTCTCTGCCACTATTACAGGCCTTCTGAATGTTGGATGAATCTCTTATTTCTTTGTTTTCTTTTCTTTGGCCCCCTTCCTCTGATTCTTTTGGCGTTTCCAATTTTCTGCTGTCAGTATTGTGATCAATGGATGAATTCAGCTTGGATGAGTTCCATCTCCATCTTCTCAGGCTCCTATAACAGTCTTCTCTGACATTTTCACTGACCAGAACATAGATGATTGGATCAGCAACACCGTTTGCAGTGCCTAAACACAGAAACACTGTAAAAACTGAATATATCTTATTTTCAAATGGACACGGGCAGTCCTGATGAAACATAAAGTATATGGCTCTTATTATGAGCACCACATGGTATGGAGCAAAGCAGATCAAGAAAATAACAATAATGGCAATAGCCACATACTTCACTTTGGCTTTCTGGCGACAAGTCAAACTGCTGCTTCTTTTTGTAGTTTGGAAAATTTTGTAGTTTGTAAAAATGAGGATTGTGAAGGGTATGGCAAATCCAAATAGGAATCTAGCAAAGCTGAAAGAAGCCAATAAAATGTTAAGGGGCACTGTCTCAAAGCAGGTTTTCATATCTGTACATTTTTGCTTATCTTCCATATAAAATACTGGAGTGTGGATTACTGCAACCACAGCAAAGAGAAAACAGACTATTATGATGGCCTTTTTCTGTCCTCTTCTCCCTCTTGATTCCAGAGAATACACCAGTGCCACGTAACGATCCAGAGAGATGCAGCACAAAAGCAGAATGCTGATGTAGATATTGCAGAAAAAGATGAATCCTGTTACTCTGCAAGCAGTGTCACTCATGGTCCACTTGTGTCCATTTTTCACATAGATAATCCAGAAAGGCAAGGTGCTTAAATACATCAGCTCACACAATGATAAACTGAAAATGTAGATGGCAACCACTTTATTCCTTTGGATTTGTACAAATGTAAGCAGAGAAGTTAAGCAATTTGCTGGAAGGCCTATAGCAAAAACAATGCTGTAAACAGCAACCAGAAGTGTCTGACTCTCTTCATAGGGAATATCTGGGCAAGTGGAGTTACAATTTTCATCTAGACAACGTTCCATTATTCTTTTTCCAGCTGGTATTTCCTGAGAATCAGAAGAAAAGGTGGAAAGTTAGCATTGCATCACTTAAAAATGTGTCAGTAAAGATTATGGTCCCATAGGTACCAATTTGACATGTCAGTGGAGCAAGTGGGATGGGGGATGTTTGAAAACTGCCTCCTCAGACACGAACTGAGAAAGACAGGGTCATATGCCTGCACCTCTGAGAGTTGGACTGGATTCTGGTGGCTGTGTGGAAGCTCTCTCAAGGGGGATCTGAAGTTCTGTCCCTGGACATAAAAATAATCCATTTCCTTTTTGTTAGTTCCCATTCTAAAATCATACCATAAATGCTAAAACCATCATCATTCCTCATGCCATGTATCACCTGCATCCAAAATCTCACATGGGGATCAGCCTACAAAAGTAAAGCAGATGAATATGAAGTTGTAGAGCAGCTTAGACATATTTGAAAAAAAAAAAAAGAAAAAGCTGGGTTCAGTATTGTCCTATCTTTGGAATGACTGGAGAAAAGAATCCTCACTGCTGTGTGGAGAAGATGGGACAGTATCCAGACCAGTGACAGGGCCAGAGGGAATGGCCTGAAGCGGTGTCAGGGGAGGTTTAGGTTGGATATTAGAAAAATGTTCTTAACCCCGAGGGTGGTTGAGCTGGTGTTAACTTACAAACATGGTGGTTGCAATAAGGGCTGGTGGTGATGAGTTTTTGCTGTCTCTGAACATCTGTCACCTTTGGCAGAGGAGGGGGTCTCTCCTGGGCCATCTACCAAGCTGCTGTGTACTGAGTTCTGGTTCTCTGCCCAGGCCTCATCTGTGAGCTGACATACAGAGCTTGTGCTTGACTCAAACACAGCTGGTGGTGAGAGCTGCTGTACACCTGCACACCACAGAGGGTCTTGGAGACCTCCCCATCTGCAGTAAAGCACAACAGGTGAATACAGTTCATAGGCAGATGGTGACATCCAGGGCAGGGGCATGGCACAAATCACTTCAGTTACTCATCAGCTTGTCTACCCCACACACCTCAATACAAACACCTGCAAGAGTGGTTGAGGGTACTCTCTCCCCTCCTCCTGGTTTTACAGACTTCTCTTGAGCCTGTGCTTGTCTACTCTCCCTTGTGTACAGCTTCCTCCAGAGCTGTCAGTGATGGTGCAGGGCAGGAACAGTAGAAGAGTCCTGTGGACACATGGCTCCCAATGTTAGTCTTGCCTTGGCCCCTCTCACTTTTGCTCCAAGTCTCCTTCCCATGCACAGCACCCATGAGGAAGCCTCAGGAAAGAGATGTGACTTTCTAAGCTACCTGCCTGGAGCAGGCATTTTTCCGTGTGTGTGGTATATGGACTAAGCCACAGTGCTGGGGCTGAGCTGAAGAGACGGTCACCCCTAAATGGCTGTCAGCTGCCAAAGTGCAGCCATAGGTACAGACTTGCACTCCACAAGAAAAATCAAGTGCTGAAGGATTGTCCTGAAGCTTTGGCCTGTCAGCCTGTATCCATCCCAGCAGGAATGCCCTAAATCCCAGCCCAGTATAAGGAAGGAGGAGAGGAGGCCACCCAGTTGCTCCACTCCTTGAGTTCTCCAGGCTCTCAGCCCTGTCCAGGGAAGAGTCTTCTTCCACTGGCCACTGCATCCACCCCCAGTTCAGAGCTTCACTTGCCTCCTTCAGTTCCCCAGGCCTGCAGAGAGGTTTCACCCTAAACTCAAGATCTCAAAGATCACAAAGCAGCAGTCAGCAGACAATTTATGAAATATCTCTTCTGGTGACATTTTCCCTTGTGTTGACACAACCTTAAAGGGAAGTAACACCACAATCCACCCTGTGACTAAAGTCAACTTCTCTGTGCATCTACACCCCTCTTCAATTGAAAGCACATCTATACCTTCTTTTCAGACCTTTAGGGTTTAATAGTTTGATGCTTGGCTCAGCCCAGAAGATTCCCAGTTCTGTCTTTCTCTGGGATGTTGAGGCTAACCTGCATCTCAAATATTAATTCAAATGAAAAACAGTAATAATTACATAGATGAGAAATACTATACACCATTTTCTAATTATCAGTTTTGCTTTGAACACCAGAACTCAAGAGATTTATCACACTCAGCAATTTTCAAGCATTTATAAAGGGTTGAACATAGTGATGATGACAAGGATTAGCAATATCCAAGAATGCATTTGTGAGATACAAACTGTTCTAGTGAGTTATATTTGCTGCCCTGTATTGTTCAGTTGAGCAAAGCCTCTCCAGAGTAGCTGTTTTCATCTTTTTGTGGCCTATCCTGATCTGCTAGGTCTCACCAACCATAACTAGGTGTTACAGCAGGTACTGGCTCTGTTTTGCATCAACAGCTCAGTGTATTTTTGTCAGCCCTCCAAGACTTCTTGTCCTGTGAGAGTCACTGCATGAAACCAACCACAGTTATCAAGTGCAAGTTTCTCAACTTCAAGATGTGCAGAACATCTCATCTTCCAGAAGAGAGAGATCATGAAGCACCTGAGCACAAATCACTGGAAGATGGGGTAATCTGCTAAGATTTGCTGCATGCCTGCTCTGTATTTATACTATCCCATTTCTAAGGTTCTTGTGTTATGTCCACACTGTTAGACAATTAGGTAATTATGTTTCATACTCCTAAAATGCAGTGGCTCCTGCTGCTCATTTGGGCCAGTTGCATTAATCTTTTCTCAAAAAAAATCTTTTCAGTAACACTGAAGTGTAAAAAAGGGAAGTGAAAACAAGCAGGAAAGCAAAAGGCTTTACTTTATCTATTTTTTTTGTTACTTGTGTATGAACTGCTCATGTGAAACTGTTTAAATTTCCAAAGAAGAAGTTGGAGTGATAAAAATAACCACTATTAGAAAAAGTAAAAAAAGAAAATTACAGATATGGCTAGAAGGAAGAGAAGGATAAGTCAAAAAAAAGCACAATAATTGGACAGAGACTGGTTGAAAGTCTTTGGAATAAGTCACCTGAGATACACAGGGACAGAAGAAAAAAAAGGATACAGTGAAATCCATTATATGAGTACAATTACATGAGCAAAACATTAATTCATGTATTTTTTATTTTCCAATATTTTTCTCATCATCCATCTCTTCCAGGGATTATTGCTAGTGCTGAAAGTTTTGAGGCATTTATGTGGATATTTGGAACGGTTTAAAATAACTGCTATGGTGGTTAAAATTAAACAAACTTTCCTTTCACACTTTCCTTCCTGTCCCCAATCTCTGTAGAGGAAAAAAACAAACCTGTGTGTCTTAAAGGATAAATCAGCTGTCAGTGAAAGGGGACCTGAGTTTCTCCTGAGGGATCTTGTGTGCTTTCCTTAGTAGAACGTGGTGCTGGAAGGATTTGACACAAAGGTTCCAGCAGGATGTCGGTTGGACACTGAAATCTAACACTGAAAAACATCAGTTCCCAGATGTGACATTTATGCCACCTACAATGCTCATCACCAGCAATGTCACTCCTCCAGCATCTGAACCTGGGCTTCTCCTTCTCATGCAGAACTTACACTGCCTGCCTGTAATTTATCAACTGATAAACTTTTTGTGTCTCTTAACTTGAAAGTAAGAAATTGCTGTGGATTATTTGCTCTGCTGTTCTTGAAAGAAGGAAAAATGTTTATGGTGTCTTCGAATAGAAACAGATCATGGCCCATTTGGCCAGCAAGTCAGTGAACTGCTTTATTTTTTTTTTCTATTATTAATAAACAAATTAGTAGAGTAAATCACTCCTAGAAGCAAATCTCAGCATAAAAAGGAGAAACAGCCATGGCTCCACTTGGTTACCCATCAGACCAATCATTTTTACTGACACACACAACACAGTGGGATTTGAAGCTATGTAATTTGAAATTTGCACACAAACCCATGTATTTTTAAGCAACATAGTTTCAAATTTGAACATAATATATGAATATATAATCTTGGCACTATATAGTTTCAAAACTCTGTTTAGAAAAAAGAGTGTTTTAAAGCTATTCTGGGAATCCAGCCTGAGCACAACTCTATCCCAAAATATCTTTCTTCCACTGGAGAAGCAGGTAACCCCTCTCTTGCCTAGTGCTGGTTAAAACACGTTATGAGGCATTTGTAGGCTGAAAGCAGCAAAACCCTGGGATTAATTATACAGCCTTTACATTTAATTTCATATTGCAGATATGAGAAATAATGCAGATATAAGCAAACTCATAAATATATTAAAATAATGATAATAAATGTAATTACAAAGAAGATATTTGGTAGAAGAGAGATGTTATTAATCAGTTGTCTTTCAGGAGGGGAGGAGCTCAGCAATCTTTCCTGATAAGGGAAGGATACTTGATTAACCTGAAGATAACACTGTTCATAGATGTGAACTCTCAATGACTTTAGATTTTTAAATACCTAAGTGCAGGTTTTTACATAAATCCATACATCCACTTCCCCCTTTCCACAATCTAGAAATCCCACAATAGTACATAATGTGCTAATTTCCTAAAATGAGCAGCTGTGGTATTACTAAGGGGAACTGTCATAATTCAGGTTTGAAAAAGGCCCAGTGTTAAAAAGTGATCCTCCCTAATCTGGGTGTCCTAGAGCCATGTTACCTGGGGAGGGACTGCACAGGAGAGAAGAATGTCTGGTGGGTGGGAAAGAAATATGTTGACAAAAGATCCTGATACTGGATTTAAGACCACATTATACAACATATATAAAAGCAGGTAAAACTGCTTAAATGTCATACACTGTAGGTAGGGGAAGTTCATAGGTTAAAAATAGACCCCAAAATCCACCCATACCAGGGGACATTTTTTGTTTTTTCTCTGGTCTCATGATTTAAAGGCTATGAGTCAGGATTTTGGGACTTTGGACCTAGCAAAGTTTCTCTGTCCATCCTGAGATCATCTGAGTACAGCTATTTCAGGCCAGATTTACTCCCCAGTACCTACCAGCTTGTGTGGAAAAGATCCCAGAGCCAGAGGAATAGCTCCATGGCCAGGAGAAGCATCAGGAAGCCCAGAAAAGCTGTCATAAATTTGAGACTAAACTATAAAGCCTGTCAAATCAAAAGACTAAGGAAAGTGTAGGTGCCGGAGCAGCAGCAGTGAAAGTGAGCAACTGAAAGTGGCTCTGCTTCATACCCTCTTCACACCTGAAACCATCAGGCACTCGAGCTCCATGACTCCCTAAAACAATTGCAGCTTAACTGGTGGCCTTGACATTAGGGATTAATTGTATATAGCTTTTTTTAAAGAAGTGGCTCATTTGGAAACCCAACTGACCAAACTTTCCTCCTAGTGTGTGCTGGAGCTACAAAGTTTCAGAAGAAGAGGGATGAGAGTGGTGATACCTATTCCTCTCTCCTGCATCAGGGTGCTCAAGGATGCTGAAGCACAACCAAGTGTCAGCAGATTTGGCACTAAGGGCTTTCAAGTGGATGGATACTGCTCTGGATTCTCAAAAGAGCATGCTGGGATGTTGGAGAACAGGCTGGGATATCAGGGAACAGCCTGCTTTAACAAGGCGAGGAAGTCTGGCTATGCTGGCACACTGTTAGAGGTGTTTCCCATGTCTTGGTTTGTTTTTATTAATGCTCAAGGGTTGTGTCTGACCACAGTGTGGTCCTGTGTGCTGTTGGCCTGTCACTGCTGAGCCCTGCCCAGGCTCTGTCCTTCACCACTGACCTGGTCACCTCCTGCAGCCTGTCATCACCTGCTCTGTCTCTCCCTGAATGTATTGCCACAGTTCATTCCTGCCTTTCACCATCATGCTGCTGCTTTTCCTCCCTCTGCCCCAAGGCAGTGGTTTTCCAACCACTGCTGTCCCAGGAGATTCACAACAGGTAAATCATACCTCTTCTGTTGCTCAAGCTCCTGGAAGTCAGAGGATGCTGGATCAGAGGCAAGTGTCCTCTTCCACCAGGCAATGACACTTGCAGAGAATATTTATTCATAAACAAACACATCTGATAAAACTCCCAAGCTTCTCCTCTTCCTGCACTGACACCTTCGCTGCAGTCACTACAGTCACAGAGATCACAGGCTCTTTCATCCCTCTTAAATCCCACAGTCACAGCATGTCTTAACTGTGCTGCAAAGAGTGAGCACAGATAGGATAGCTTCTCCTTGTCAGGAGTAAGAAAATGCAAAGATAGTGTTGACTTTGACCTTGTGACAGTAGATTATCTCTCCCTGATAGGGGTCTTGGCCCTGCCCTTGTGGGTCTGTGTGGAAACTGCTGTGGTGGCATCATCAGTACTAAAGATGTTGCTGGGGAAAAACAGAGCAAAGAATTGCCCAGAATAATTTCATGATCTGTCTTGGGCTCACTGGCATACTGGCTGTTACTGTCTAGCTAGTTTCATCTGAAAATTGTTTTATTTTTGTCTAAAGTGGATGTCTCTCAGCAAGTAGGATTTGTAAAGCCTTGTGAAAACCACAGTGCCTTCTTTAAACAATCCTATTTTTAACAGAATGCCTGCAAGTGGTATTTAACAGTGTTCTGAACTTAGACACAAATATTTCCTCCTTCTCCATTTACCATGAAACACAATTTCTTTGTTCCTTTTTGTCCTCTGATTTGCTCTCAGCTAACTGGAGAACTTCCATTTTCCCTTTTGACATCTGGGTCACCTCCTGTAGCTACCTGCTCCCATACCAGTAGCAGGGCTTTCCCCTTGAAGACTTCAGTGATACCAACAAAAACTGAGATGCTCAAAGATTCCTCTTTGCATGTACACGCACCTCTGACGTCCCTGTGAGCCCACTCACTTCTGCTGAATCTGTGGTGTTTTGTCTGAATCCGCATCTCTGATCTCTTCTGGCTCTTTATACATCCACCACAATGAGCATCTCATTCTTTGTTGGCACACTTAGGGTCTACTCTGGAAGTTATTAATGTAAAAATTCCAGTTAGTAGATACTTCCCAAAGCATCCTGACACTTGACAGCAAAATTATTTGTGTAATCCATGCTGGAAGATCAGTGTCTTCTAAGAGGCTTGGGAAATGCAGAAACTGAAAGAGTTGTCTGCACTTTCAGGCAGAAATCTGTACAGAGCGGGTGCCCAATTCAAACTTTAAATTTCTTTAAACATATTGTCCTGTGTAGAGGACTTGGGAAAACATCTCAGAAGAAAATCAGTCTTGACCATTTTGTACTAATGAGCAGAATAAGTGCTGGTGGGGTTTTTTTGTTGTTGTGTTTTTGTTTGTTTGGTTTTTTCCCCCTACAACTCTCTTTTCTACAATGAAGTTACTGGAAGTTAAAGAGCTGCTGGTTTAGAGGCACCAGCAGATCTAAGCAGAATTATGAGAAGGACAGGTTTAAAATAAACCCAGATGCTCTTTGGTCTTTGTGAAGTAGTCAACTCTGAAAATATTTTTGGGGGAAAAAAAAGAAAAGTTAATTTAAACTCCAGTTAGCCTCCACATTCCTGAGTGCCAGAGATCAGCAGTGCTGTGTGAATAAAAGGTGGAGGAAAAGAAGGAATGTAGCGTATCCAATTAGTCTTTACAGACCAGCAGGTAAACTTGACAATTAAATGCCTGTCTTGCTTTTCCAGCAGAGTAAGGAGGAGAGGAAAGGCTGCATATGAATTCTCCTGAAAAGGAACCCAGCATTCATATTTCTATTATAATTCTGTATTCATGGCTCATGCACTGCAGTGATAGCTAAAGCTAAGCTCACAGCAACCTCTATTCTGCCAAAATCCTTCAATCCTAATAATTGTCTATCCCTGACTGGAACTAAAGTTGATTTCTACGAGAAATATGTTTTTTATGGGAAAGGGAATTCATAAGGAAGACAGGAAGGAAGGACTGCATTAACTGCAATTAATTAATACAGACTCAGCAACTGCATCAATCACAAGGAGATTTAGACTACCATGAGTCATCAACACAATCTGCACTTCTTGAGCACAAACACACGGTGTGGAGAAACACGGCATGGAGAAACAGTGACCAGAACAGAACAAAGAAAATGCTGCTAAATAGAAGCAATGCCTTCACTCAGAGATAGAACACTTACCTTTTTTTTTTTTTTTTTTTTTTTTTTTTTATCCTGTTTTTTTGCAGAGGAGACGATGGAGTGCTCCAGCTCGTGCTGTGCTCAGAGGCTGCTCTGACAGAGCTGCAGGAAGAGCTGACGAAACCACGTGCAGTCCTAAGTGCGGTGAGCTAAAATAAATTCTGTGGGCACAACTTCATCAGGCTCCCCAAGCGTGGCACTTTCAGTTGGGTGGGCACAGAAAGCAGAGGCTGCCCACTGCCAGCAGAGCACCTAGAAGGAGAAGCAACCTTAAGAAAAAAAAAAGTTTGCTGTCAAATTCTGTCACTTGTACAGAGGTGGCAGGTTGCTTTTGTGGCTGCCAAGACTCTTGTTTGGGCTCCTGTTCTGGGTGTGCACCTGAATCACTGCCCCGGAGGGACAACCCATGAGCTGCCCGAGCTCTGTGGCTGCTCAGGGACAGAGCACCTGTGGGAGGTGCTCATTTCTACCCTGGAGGTAATTCCCACTCTGCCTTCGACACATGAATATACGACCTGAATATGTGTGAATTGGCTGCGTGTTGGTAAATGGGAAACAGAGCCCGATAAAGGGAGTGGTGATAGGAGGGAGAGCCTATTTTGTTGACAGGTAGGATAGAAAAGGCTGAGAATGCTAAAGATTTGATGGTGGTTAGAGAACCTTCTAGAAGAAGAATTCAGTTACAGGAGTTCCGTAATAGATAAGAATACTGATAAGAAGGAGCATATGCTCTTTACCGAGTGCCCTAGTTTAGGCTTTGTGTGAAGGAGGAAGAAGATCCCAATGTTACATTGCCAGGCTAGACCTTGTTTGTGATACCTATTCTGTATGCTTTTGCTGATGCTGTGTGTCACTCAGTCAAAGTCAGTTATGACCAGATTTATGAAGTTTTCAGGCAACTTCTCAATCAACTCCTACAAATTCCACTCACAGTGAGGTGCTTACAGGACCCCACAAGGGTCTGCCAGGACTTGCAGACTGCTGAGGGCTAAGGTGGGACAGGAAGGAGCTGCAAAGTGGCAACCTAAGGCAAACAGAGAACTGAATTTACTTTTGGTATCTGTATTGAAACAGTTCTTCTGAAAATTAAAGAAATGCTTGGTATGTACTTTCATTCTGGTGTAGAAAAGTTACTTTGGTTCTGCTCTGGAGAAGGTTTCTAGGGATGGGTCTTTCTGTAAAGAGCAATTTATTCTCAGGAACCAGAAGGAACTGGGGAAAAAAGAGGCTGAAGCTGGTTTCTATCTGTAGAGAATAGGTGAAATTTCTGTCTTTACCAGCTCAGCTTGACTGGACATATTGCTGGAACCAGCCTGTGCACTGCCTCAAACATGTGATTGCATGTTGTTCCTTTTCTGAGTAGAAATCAAACTCAAAGGAAAACACAATGAATGAATAATGTTTCTGAGATGACTACAGCTGATTTGTCTCTGTATTTGTCTTTCATTCACACACGTGGGATAGAAAAGAGCAGGGTGCACTCAGACCTGAAGAGCTGGAGTTTTCACAGAGACCAGTGGGCTCCTTTGTGGTATTTGTGATGTACCAGCTCAAGGTTCCCATTTGGCTGCAATCAGCTATGGGGTCAAATACCTGCCTGATTATTTTCTCCCTAATGTTTGGTTTAGGATAGTCAGAGACACATTTGCATTTTCCAGCTAGATTTTATGATGAAACTTTGAAAATTGCATGGTCCTCCATAGGGAAATGAGAGATGACACATCTTAAATCTTCCAGTCAGACCTTAAAATTATTACTATTTATCTTCTTTACGCTTCTTTCAGCAGTACAGCCCCAACTGACATCACCTACAACTGTTCCCCTGAAAGATTAAGACTGATACAAGATGTCATGTCGGAAGATGCTTTCAAAAATTTTCACAATATCTTCTGTAACTGGAGATGAACATCAAGCTAGACCTTCTGTGGGTGGCAGAACCAAACCAAACATTGCAAGTAAGTTTACTCTGTTTTCAGTGGAGATAATACTAGCAGTACAGCAATAAATTTTTTGGTATGAGCTGTATTGCACTGACATCTTACTTAGTCAGTAAAAAAAGATCAGATGAAGAACCTTTTAAAGAAGAGTGCAGAAACTCCCTGGCCAAATCTAGTTGAAGTAAATGGAAATGTTTCTTTTAACCTAGATGAGTTTGGATTGGGCATTTTGAGACTATTTATTTCTGCCATTTAATTTCTGGGTGTTATTTAGCTAGTTGCCTTTAAGGTAGCATGTTCAAGCAAGGTAAGCTGCATAGGTGATATCTTACATGCATTTTCCATCATTTTCTTACTGAGGTACAGTGACTATCCAAACAATAGAGAAAAGGGTCCAGCCTTGTTTTAACTCAGTTCTACATAACACAGGTTTTTTTTTATTTTTTTTATTTTTTTTAATTTTCACAGCTATGATAGAGAAACTATGAACTAACTTTCATTTAGAAACTATCAAGAGAAAAGCAGGTATGATATATCTCTGTCCCACTGCATATGAAAATACTCTGTGTTAATGTTATTGTTGTTATCTGGTTGTGACCAACAAGAACCTGTAAATGGAGGAAATGTCAGATCATCTGCCTCTCCTTCCTCCACCTGCAACTGAATACAGCGCTGTGGTCATATATTGCAAAAGATTACCCAGGAAGACAATTTTGTGCAGTCATGCACCTTTTTTTTTTGTAGGTAAACAAGGTTCATTTTTCTTGAAAAATGATAGAATATGGCTTTAAATTTGCAGCATGGAAAGTGAGGAAATGAAAACAGTGTCTTGAAGTGCAGGTCTTAGTAGGAAACAGCCAAATGTCTCTTCTCATGTTACCAGGCAGTGCACTGAAAGGGGACAGAGCTGCAGACTTGTCTGGAGAGTGCAGTGTATACAGGATGGCAAAAAGGACTTCCTTAATCATAAGCAAGGCAGGAAAGTGCCCAAGAGTCTCTCTAATTCAGCAGTGTTCAGGGGCTAAGAAGCACTGAATTCTGCTCTGTGCTGCTGTGGCTGGAGCACTGTATGAGTGCCCCTGCTGCACTGGCATGATACAAACTGTGCCTAGCAAAGAATCTCAGTAGCTTGTGGTTCAAACTTGGGTTGTCTGTGACAGTGGCTGTGATGCTGTTGCTCTGGGACAGGGACAAAAGCTGGCCAGGGTGATTTTTTTAGTCCATATCAGGATCAACCACAGGTTGGATCCCTCAGACCAGAATGTGTTAAACTGCTAAAACCAAAGCTCAGCTTCCTGCCAGCCACTTCCTACCTGCAGAGTCTTTCCCTTACACATGAGGGCATACACGTGCCACCCTGGCAGCTGAGTGGCAAAACCACTGAGCTGAGCCCAGCACAGAGCTTACATGGATTTCTGTGTGACCATGCATGCCCAATCCATAGTGTGCAGTCTGCAGGGAATGCAGAAGCCTTCCAGTCCTGCTGCTGGAGATTAAAAACATGGGGCTGTCAGTTGGTAAGATTTTTCATTCAGTGGCTTTCCTACATGTGATGGGCAGGATTCCTGCTGCTTAGTCAGGCTGCATAAATACTTGCATTTCATGTCTGTGTTGGAAGCCCTCCTGCTTTAAGTTTGCCTGTTTTTGTGAGTGCTGTGTAGAAATTTGGCTGTTCTCCTTTTTCACCGGTGCAGTGATGTACCGTGTGCCTCAGGGGTGGAAATCCACTAAGTTGAATATGACTGATTATGCCCCTCACCAAGGAAAGTTCTCTCACTCTGAAGAGAAAAGCTCTATTTATGTTTGACAGTCCTACCCCGTCACATACTGGGATTATTATGGTCCCTGTTAGGAGCTTGCTGGCAGAGTGCAGCTGGTTGTCACATGGAGTTTCTGAGAGACATTTGACACCACTGACTTCTCTGGAGCAACAACTTTATCCTCTGTGTGGTAAGAGTGGAGAGGTGCCAGTCTGGACCTTAGGGTCCTTGAGACAAGGTGGGGTTGTATCTAACAGCTTCTTTGGGACACCCTGCTGCCAGTGGTGTGGCCAAAGCTGAGACAGCGAGTGTGCTGCTGCAGCTCATGGAATTTGGCTCCAAACTTTGAATTCAGTCTCTGAACGTGTATGTTCCCAAGAATCCCAGCCTATCCACTTTGTCTTTTCATTCAGCTCCAGCTGTCAGAATAAAAGTAAACTGAAAATATAATGAGTTAGCAGGCACCCACCAGTACCCGTCATGCTGTGCCGCAGGCTCAGCTCTGCCGCTCACGCCACACGTGCTGCCTTGTGACAGGTATGTCTGGCTTTCTTTTCTTATGAAAACCCTTCCTTTTACTAAGAAACTCTAACACCCACAGGGGTGGAAAGGTTACAGTTGTTAGTGCATGGGGAGGAAAAGGGTGCGGTTCAAAGAATACTCATTTCATATTTTTTTTACAAACGCAAACCATCAGTAGTGCTGGGCCAAGATCTGAAATCAGTTTAACTATCACAGATCAGAGAGAAATTCAAGCTGGTTTTGCATCTTGTGCAAACAGCTAATATGACTACCCAAAGCTCTGTGCTACTGCAGGACTCTTATATTTTTGGATATTAAATCTGGGGTTAATACAAAAACTGTGTCGACCACGGAAGCAAAGTAATAAAATTCATCCTCCCATTCTGAATCCCAAGGGAGCGGAGTGGCTGAAGAGCAAAGAAGTGCCTTGGACAAACTTGCGGTTCAGATAAACCAAATCTTACTCAAACACTCTGCTGTAAGTCCAAATATTTTTTTTTTTTTGCTACCATTGTTGTCCCCTTAGTCTCCTTCAGTTTGCTCTGCAGCCAGGCTGGACCCAGCTGATGCAGCAGGGATTCACAGGGCTTTGGTGTTTACATTGCATCAGCTCCTCCTGCTGTGCTCAGGGACCTTTGCTGCCAGCTCTCCATGGCAAGGATCCCAGCAGTCCACCTTGTAGAGCTGCACCAAACCCTCGAGGTGGGTGGCTTTAGGAAGCTGGTACCCTGCTAGGGGAGGATGTCACAGAGCTGGCAGGTGCCCATTGGGTGACCCCAGCACGTCTGTGCTGGGGCTGAGCGCTGAGGGGCACCTTAGAGAAAAGCTGCAGACAGGAAAGCAGGAAATGTTTTGCAGAACAGAGATAACATAGAAAATAATGCTCTGTAAATGGTTTGATTTACTGATTTACATGTACAGGGGCTGCCATGTAAGCACACAGGAAAAGGAAATGGAACGGACGAGGAGGGGGAGGAAAAAGGCAAGAGGACAACAAAAAGGCTGGCCGGTTTCATTGGGAGCAGTACTTTATGTGCTGGGTTTTCTCCTGAGCGTGGTGTGTTGTTGAGGTCTGCAGTCACACGTGGACCCTCAGGACTGTGAGCCCTTTTGTTGAAAAGGACGTCTCTCTTTATCAAAATGTGCGACTTGCATCATCTTGGGGTCCTTCTGCAGTAAGAATTCCCTGATGTATACAGCTGGAATCACCCTGGGCACACCAGGCCTTATCTAGAGCAAACCAGGTGCTGAGCCACTGATCTGAACTTCAGCTGTGTGATGGAGTAGTCACAGAGGGTAGAGTTGTGAGCCCTGTGCTTTGTTGCTCAGACTTTCTCAAAAAAGGGAAGACTTCAGAGGTTTCTGTGACTTCCTTTGGGGTGAACCCTCCCTTGACACGAGCCTCAGCAAGCAGTGGGACGCACACTCCTGCCAGCAGCAGGTCTCTCTGCAGAAATGCTGTGCACAAGTGACTTTTGTGAGCCTTTGCCAGACTTTTTGTGGTCCACCTGTCTGCACCTCAATGGGGGAGCTGACAGACCTGGGCAGGCTCTATTTTACAGTTACTTGTTTCTTAATTTGATCCATTTCCTTTATGTCACTGACCTCCAGTGGGGAAACTGAGGCTCATATGTGGTTGCTGAACTGGATGATGATTCCATTTTGAAGTGGCCAGGCCATGGAACCATCTCCTGCAGCAGGATGGTTACCTCTGATGTCTTTTTTGAGGCATCTCCTCTGAGTCTTTGGGGGTGCTGGTGGGTGTGAAAGACCCCTTCCAGTCTCTGCTGGAATCATTTAGGTTGGAAAAGACCTCTAGGATCATCCAGTCCAACTGTTAACCCAGCTCTGCCAAGTTTACCACCAAACTATGTCCCTAAGTTCCACAACCACACATTTTTTGAACACTTTCAGTGATGAGTTCAAAAAATGTACTGTTATAAGCATCTCAATGTTTTGAAGAAAAGAAATTACCTGGTGAAACTATTATATTAAGCCTCAAACTAAAGTGAAAGATTTAGTGGGGCACGTATTTGGAGATATTTGCTTCGCTTTTTCTCAGATAAATTCCCTGATGCAGTCTGAAAAAAAACGTATGGTCTGTGAGATTTCTAGATATGTATACACCCCAAGGAGAAAGAAAACTCAAGCTTTCCCCCCCTCCTTTCCCACCAGTTTTTCAGATCCTCTTACTCCATCATAATAATGGAACAGACAAAAGAAAAATCTACTGGAAATCACCCTTGAAAACACTGACTTTTGAGCTCTGGCACATTTTTCCCAGCATAAATGTATCTTGCTATAAATTGGTCTTCTTATAGGCACCTGGGATTTTGTTCTTTGTTCAGTTTGCTTTCACTTAAACAATGAATTTACAGCCTAATTTTCCAGGCATGATTTCTATGCCCTCCTTGGTGCTGGGAATGTACTTTTTGAAGGTTCATTTGTGAAGCAGCCATATAAATTGGAAAGATTCTTCAGCATTAAAAAGCATCCCTTCCATCATCTTTTCTCTTGACACTAGCAGCTTCAATCATTTTGTAAATCAAATTACTCATGGAAAGACAGCTTCACCTGGTGCCGGGGTGGCACAGGCACATTTTAACACGTGACACTGGGGATGGAAAGTCTGTCTGTCTGTCTGTCTGTCTATCTGTGGTGCGTGAGAGTGATACCTGTGGTAACTTTTCTGGAGTGAGTTTGCAGAGTGGAAGCAGGTGGACTTTGACACCACAACTCTCTGTGTACTCCAGGCTACCCAGATGTGGGATGTTTTTGCATGAAAACTCTGCTCAGCCAAACCTGTAGGTTTCAACATTTTAAGAAATGCAAATATTTTATAATTCGCTGCCAGCTTTGGTAGTGTGTGCTGTCAAGTAATGGGAAGAAAATATATATAGCTCAGTTCTGGACTCATCTTGTGGTCTCTTTTCATTAATCTCATCTCTGTCTTGAGTTTTAGTTTTCTTTTAGTTTTTCTTTGGTTTTTAGTTTTCTTTTTAGTTTTTCTTTAGTTTTTAGAATTTCTGTGAATTCTTTTAAAGACTTCCTTTGCATATATTTTGAGATGAAGTGGCAAAAAGATACTGTAAGAGACCCAGTTATTATAGCAAATTTTAAAAAAGCAAACAGACAACTATAGATATCTACATATAATGAGACATGAAAATCCCACAGTTTTCCAGAACCAAATGGCAATGCTCCCACTGACCTGACTGAATGAAAGTGTCATGCTGTGCTGTGCCAGCATCACTGCTCAGGTCCCAGGAAAACAGGATCACTGGCAGGAGAAAGGCAGGCTGCAGGCCAGCTACACCCTGGAGCTGCAGCTTATGGAATGCACACAGCAAATACATGGGTGAAAATAAAAGGTGTCTTGTTATGCTGCCAAGCACCAAAGAACACAGAAATGCAAGCACACCCATAAAATATATCTCCCATTCTTCTGCAGAGGCACTTTCCTGTCTGATCAGCTTGGGTGACATCCTGGCACTTTCAGGAACAGGAGGAAAGGGCTATGAGGACAGAAGAAGAAAGATGGCCCAGAAAGAATGCAGTGTCTTTTCTCTGCTTGGTTTCAAGGTGTTTGAGATACATGCCTAGATGTCAGTGAGGGCTCTGGGCAATGACAAGCTCATGTCTTCTGCAGAGAGATGGATGTGAGTGTCTGCAGGTAGCTGCAGGAGCAGCCACTGGTATCCTATACCTGGTTTTGGGTGCCCTGGAGAAACCTGACATTGCACAGCCAGGCTGTCCCTTTGCTCAGGACTTCTTTAAAGACCAGGAAAACAGGTTGCTCCAAAAAGCTTTTTAGCAATCTAAAGGCAGAAAAACAGGAGGAGAAAGTAAAATCTGCTGTACTGTTTATAAAAAAAGATACCTTCTGGTGTTTTCTGTGATAGTTCTCTGATTCCCTGATAGTGTTTGCTGTAAAAAAATTACAAACCTGTCATGGTAATCTAAGATTTGTGCCCTTTTTCCCAGCAATGACATTTTCTGTTAGGACACCATCTTGTGTCTCCTGCTAGAGGGGGTCTTAGTAGAAACATCAGTGATAGAACAAAAAAAAAAAAAAAATCTGTTACGATGTCTGAATCCTTTTGAAAAATGGCAATAACATGCTGGTATTTGCTCTTCAAAGTATTATCCATTAGTTGGAAATGAAGGAGCAACCTCTTGTAGTTAAAAGCCTTATCAAGCTCAATCACAAAATCGAATGAAAAGCTGTATTCAAATGCAACCTAATTTATAAAGTGAATTATTACTTTATTGAATAAGAAATTTAAATAGTCTAAAATGAAAAATCAGATTCTATCAGTTTTTGATCTTTCTTTGGTAACCACCAGATTACAAGTAGTCCCTAATTCTGAGTCTGCTACTGAATTTCAGTTCACTTTATTTTAGCATATTTGAAGGGAGTTTGTTTATGGTATAACTGATGGGAAATTCCAGACGGAAAGGAGGAGTCAGTACATACAGAGATGGACTCTGCGCTGTTCTTCTAAGCCTTGGTTTTCTTCTGAGAAGGAAAGAGCAAAACAACAACACCCTTTTACCAGTGCTTTTTCATCTGGTTGTGTGGGTGGTATGTTGAAATAATAGTTTGGTGGAGATTAAAGAAAAGCATGACTGCTGTGTAGCTGCTATCAGAAGGGGGAATCCCAGCTCTTTAAAGAGTGTGCACAACTAGACGTGAGCAGTGTTATTATAGGGTTCAAAAGAAAAACCAGCCCAAACAATCCCCTTCTCACCAAACCTCCCCTGGGTTTCCAGCGTGTGGAGCAGTGGGCCAGGTCTGTGACTGGGAGATCTCTGCCAGCGTGTGGCTGCTGAGTCTGCTGGGTTAAAGCATCTCCTGCAGAGATGGGCAGCCTTGCTCTGGAGATTCAAGGGATGGAGAGCCCACCAGTCCCATGATGCATTTGGTGTTTTGTCCCAATTATCAAAGAGCACTGATGAAATCTCTTCTTTTTCCAGTCTGGACCCAGCAGAAGACAGTGTGCTGTTGATGGAAAAGGATTACACCTGCTTTAATACATAAGGAACACACCTACTTCAACCTTCCCACCTAAAGCAAAGCAGTCTTTAGTTCCTGGTGTTTTCTTCAATGTAAATTCAAGGTACAAAAAAGGGCATAACTTTGCAGAATGGCAGACGCTTACTGTGAACCCTCCCCTTTTCCAGACCACACTTAACCCACAGTCTGTTTCCTCTCCTTAGCAGTCACACATTTTGTCATCTGTGGTCCCTAGATACCTACAGATTAGTCTTCCTACGTGCCGGTGCTGAGCAGTAAAGCACCTCAGCAGTCTCACTTTAGTGCCTGGTAAAATTATGGAGACTAATCTGTGAGTTGTTGAAGAACACTTGGAAGACAAGGCAGACACTGGTCGCAGGCAGCACAGGTTTGTGAGGGAAAGTCCTACTCAACCAACTTAATTTTTTTTTTTTAATACAAGGTAGCCAGTCATAAAAATAATCTTTGATCAAAGGAAACCAGTTGATACAATCATTTTGGATTCCAGTAAAACCTTTGACATTGTCTCTCACAGGATCCTTCTGGACAAAATGTCCAGCAAACAGCTGGATAAATACATATCTATGATTCCATGACTCCCCAGCCAGTGTCAGGTTCCTGTGGGTTCCTGTCAGGATCTGTGTTGCTCTGGAGAAAGGGCATGATGAAGAGAGGAGGGGTGGTGAGGCCTGTACCTCTCCCACTGAAAGCAGGCCAAATATGTGGAAAATACATCTATGTTTCAGAAAGGAAGCAGTTGGGGAACTGACTGTGGCTGGGGAACTCAGCTCTCAGAAGGAAGTCCCAGTTGCTGGTGCTGAGACTATTTTTGTCTTTTAACAGACAACTGTAATGGATCAAATGGAAAAGCAGCCCTGACAGCTGGGTCTGAAACATGCCTGCTGCACATGCACCCTGCCAAAGGTCATGCTCAAGGCCAGACCTGTGCTGGCACAGTTAGAAGCCTGTGGTGATAGGAACTCAAGAGCAAGTGGTGTTTTGTGAAAACGTTTGTGCAGTTAGCCTACATGCAGTCACAGTAAACTGAGAAGAGACTTCATGTGATGGATAAAGCAAATAAAAGACCAAAGAGCAGAGTGAGTCCTGAACCTCATCCAGGGTGATGTTTGCTCTGGTCTTTGCAGGTTGCTATTGCAGGTAGTTCATTGTTTCCTCTTTTCAGATTCCTTTGAAGAGTGCACACATGGGCAGTGTGCAGACAACAGAAGGCAGCAAGAGTGGTTTTCCTGGGAAGCCAAAGGTTTGCCTAGTTTGAAATCCAGCCTCCAGTGGTGCCTCAAAGCAGCTCCTGGGGAGGAGCAGTGTAATGGGGGCAGCTCCCAGTGTCCTCTCCCCACAGCTGCTCCCTCAATCCACAAGTTTGCATGTCAGGGACTGTTTCAGCAGTGGTCTTTCTACTGCTATGCACGAGCATGGAAATGATTTCCCTACACCTCTGCCTACCTCGAACACCAGATACGCACTCACGGTTCCTTTATTCCCTTTTCTCATAGTGCTGTACTGGGACCCTGTGCTGTGCCATTCATTAGTGTGTGCAATCTCACTTCTCCAGCTCTCACATCAATTATGGGATAACTTTTAGTGCTTTACAGGACACAGCATTGTTCCCTGCTACAGCCTTGGGAAACCCTGAATCTGTCATGTCTGGGCCAAACTCATCAAAATAGTAACTCAGTTTGGCAAGTAATTCTTGTTCTTTGAAAGATGCCAATTACCATTTCCTATTCATTTCTTTTTGACTGTACTTACCCAGTTCATCCTGTTTACCCATTTGGAGTATTGATAACTGTGAGCACTTCTTCAAATGGAAGTAGGAGAGAGATTATGTCATCTCTTCTGGGAATGCTAATTATCCATAGTGCTTATTTAAAATATTTTTCCCTAGTAGATCTTGCTTATAAGACTCTTGATGCAACTGAGCAAAAATGTCCATCAGAAGCCTTATGTTATACGTGCACATGTTCTTACTTCTTTCTGAATACAGACAAATACCTATTTAGTACTTTTTTAAATTTCCATCCATTTTACTACCAGTCTTTAGTGGTATTCCTGCACTATTTTTAAGCTCCTTTTGTTCTTAGTAGAAGAAAAATTACTTTCTTTGCTCTGTTCTGAGGTGTTTCTATATAGTTCTAATTTTACTTACTAATTTCTCTCAGTTACTTCAATTTAAGTTAACTGGCAGCTGTTTCCCCCTTTCAAAGTTGTGATTGCTTTTCAGCTTCACACTGATTCCTTCACTTTGCTGCTGAACCAGGATGAAATTTTAAGTGTGATCTGTTTGCACTCTTGACTTGGAAATCCCGACTTTTTGACCATCTGATAAGTCCTTCATCAAAGGCCTGAACTTTCATTTGGGTTTTTCTGCCCACATTTTGTCTAGCAGTGAATCTGGATAGTAATTTTCCTTTGAGCTAGAGAATGTACCTTTTTAATGCTGAGTGTTTAGGGCAGACAAATAATCAGGTCACAATCAGGTCACAATGATGCCTGGCATTCAGAGGTCAACAAACTTTCTACCCAGAATTTGGTTCACCAAGGTATGTTGCAATGAACACCCTCATCATGGGTGTGACCTCATGGGTTAAAGAATTCACTCAAATGCTATTTTTCTATTGGCTATTTACATCTCTAGCATGTGTCTCCCACGTGGAGCTCTGTGTGCATACAGAACTCTTCTGTCCACAAATTGGATGAGGGTTAAATGAATAATGGGTTTAAAGAACAATCATCCTGCCTTTTGACTCTGTGACTTTGTCTGGTGGTCTGTAGCAGATCATTCTGCAGATACTCTCCCTGTTCTGCTGAGCATCTTGTAAATCTGACCCAGCAGCTCACAATTCCACAGTGGTGGTAAACAGAACTGCCCCCAGTCTGCCCTTCCTAATCAACAGTTTTATTTCAGTATCAGACAGTCATCTCACTGAGCTTCCGTGACATCAGCTGCGTCAAGTTCCATCACAAGTAACTTTCTATTCCTCTCATTTCTTACTGGCCCTTCTAGCGCCTATATAATTGACCACAAGTTCTCTTTTTTCATCGTTCAGTGCTTTCATCATTCAGTCAGCAAGCTGCTGTCTGTGTGTGGAGTTGCATGACACACATTCTTGGCAGTATTTGCTGTTGCTCCTCTAACCAGCCCTCTATGGCCCTCTCTGAAAATGTGGGCAACCCACATTTGACACTATTTTTTTTTTCAGCTTCTGATGTCACCCTTCTTCCTCAAAGACAGGAGATAAGCAAAAGCAAATCTGCTTGCCTCATACCCATTGTGCTGGCCATCTACAGCTTATTCATGAGTTGTCCTGCTTTGCTTTGGTACACCAGAATTCAGTCAAATACAAATAATTTTTTGTGTGTTCAGGCTATTATTTTATGTCAGATCTGGAAGGATGAAAACAAGAAAGACCTGAATGCTCATGAGAAAACCTTTAGTTTTAGGAGGTTTCAAGAACAGTTTTGCTGATCTGTTGATACACGTGAATATTGACAAGTGAAACTGCTCCTGAGTCACATCGTTGTTACAGTAATGAAAAATGAAACATCATCTGTAGTATCTGGGTTGAGGGAAGGTGGCTGTGAAACGAGCTGTTGTGGTGGGAATGTCTTTCCAGAAGGAGGAAAGAAGGGGAATATGAGACAGTAACAGTGAGTGTGTATGGGGAGAGAAACACCATGGGCCAGAGAGCCTCCCACTCTGGGAGCTGCTGCAGAACATGGCAGGGCAGTGTCCAGCAGCACAGTCCCAGCTCCTGTCACCCAGCTCCCAAACCATTGCAGGGCAGCCAAGTCCACTCAGGACTCACCCAGGTGGAGAAGTCCTTGGTTCTGGCTGCAGAGCCTGGAATGGACGAGGGGAACATAATGGACAGTCAGAGGGCTGCTGAGGCAGAGAGAGACCAGGATCCCATGGATGCTGCATTAGGGGGGTGTGGAGAGGGTCAGAGTGAGCCTTGAGAACAGTAAGGAATGTAAGGATGGAGAAGAGTCATCATTTTGCCGTGTCTAGAAAATTAGGACAAAACTTGTAGGTATTACAGCCCAAGTAGGCACAAAAAGGCAGGAAGAGTGGGCTGGTGCAGGGAGGTAAGGGGGGTTTCTATAGCCATGGCATTTGGGATGGAAAGTTGGGGGGAAGAATTTTGTGCTGCTGAAGGCAGGGATGGTGAAGGAGGTGTGGCAATTATTGGTGTTGGCAAGATGAGAAACGCCCCAGAATGGTGATGCTATAGGCAAAGGTAGGAGTTACTGAGGTAAAGGTAGGAGGAGAATCTGACTGCAGGGAGAAGTTAAGGAGACAGGAGAAGAGAAGGAAAATGAATTTGTCATGAAAGAAGGCATTGGCAGGAAGGGAATGGGTCTAAAAGAAAGGTTTATGTAGGAAGAGCATTCTTTGAGCTGCTCTTCCTGCAAGAACATGCAAGGGACGTGCAAGGTCAGAATAACTGTGCAGATGAAAATACCCTTCTCAGTAAAGTGGTTGCTGTGATGGGGAATAGGGATCAGTCTGCCAGAGGAGGGACTGGCAAATGGGGATGGCACCTTCACTGGCAGGGCCTGCAGAGCTGATGTGAGGAGCAGACTGGGCTGAAGGTTCACCAGGGTGGATCTGGATGGAGTCGCCACTGGATTTGTTAGCTTCTCCTCAGAGATGAAAATGGTAAGGAGGAGCTTGGAAATAGATACTGGGCAGGTGGACAGGCGTTATCAGTTGTCCTGGGAAGTGAAGCATGAAACCATGGGTTTTTGGGAATAAGATGTAGCTACAAGAGAGCTGAGAACACCTTCCTCAAATGGGGAAAGGGCTGGGAGAGCTACCCCAGGGCTTTAAGGAAATGAACCGAGGAGCTCCCCCCAGCAGGGTGTTAGGAGAACATCTAGTGGTGGCCTGGAGTTTCGTGGGGTTTCCCTCCATCCCTGTGACTGGTGGCCCCATGGTGTCTTCCCAATGACTCAGGGGATTTCCCGAGGCCCTGCTGAGAGCTCTCTCTGCATGCATCAAAACTGGTTTGTGGTTGGTTTCTTTTGAGCATCAAAACTGCAAAAGAAATTTTCTAGCTCCTCTCTGTCTGGGAAATGGAGTAGTCACTGGGAAAGCACATGTCAGATGGGAACTGGGTTGTCTGTCTGTCTCTGCCAGCTTGTGTGTCCCCAGGCAGGACTTTCTGGGTAGCTGGATGGTAACACCTACAGCCAGGGCTGTCACCACCTTGCCAGGGTCACAGCTCCAGGTCCAAAAGGCTGCATGAGAGACTGAATGCAGCCCTGCTTTTGGGGGGAAAGATAACTTTCTAATTCTAATTTTTGCTACTTTACTTCTTTACTGCTCATGGATAACCACCACAGCTCTTCTCTCCTCATGGACATGTGTTTCCCATGTGTCCAAAAGATTCGCATGGATAGAAAAGAACAGCTCTGTCCAGAAAGCCTCTGGGGAGAAAACCTCACCCTGGGCCAGGAGCAGCTCAACACAGCTACCTCCTGCTGCTATCAGGCTGCTTTTAATTTTTTCCCTGGCTATTTATTACAGAGACCCCCTCAGTGGTGGTGAGGAGCCTGTGCATTCTCTTGGTGTGTAAGCACTAGGCTGGTGCTCATTTACATTTTCTCTGTGTTGTGACAGGCTGGCTACCTCAATAAATACCCTCAAATGCTTGTTGCCCGTGCTGAGATTCTCTTGTCCTTGTGTGACTGAAGGGATCTCACACACTTGCATGCAGAGGACTCAAAGGAGGCACAGAAAAGCCATCATAATGTATTCATCCAAAGAGAGCCCTTCACAGCTTATGCAGTCGAGGATAGCTTCTTGTTTTTTCTTGAGTCACTCATTGTAAAACTATTCAAGCTACTCAGGGATAGAGAAAGTTATCAAGGAGTTTAAAAGAGGCAAATTCAGACATGTCTTGGCTGTTCAGGCTGCACATCCAACCTTTTTGCTTGTAGATGGAATGTAGCCGTTTCCATGTTGAAAAAATAACATGACTAAGATGTAGTGTGTTTGAATAATAAAACAACCCAGTCTGGGCCCCACTGAGTGAAAGCAAGACTCAGCTTGTAACATGTGGCTTCGAACCCTCTGACTGATTGGTGATGTTTTGTCTGAACCTCTCAAACCATAAGAATTCAGGAATGGCCCAGGCCAGCTCTACAAGTACTGTTCCTGCAGAATGAATATAATCTTCCAGGCATAGTATCACAGAATGGTTTGGTTTGGAAGAGACCCTTAAAGATCATCTTGTTTTAACCCCCTGCCATGGGCATGGACACCTCCTGCTAGACCAGCTTGCTTCCTCCATCCAGCTTGGAATGGGCATGACTCTGTTCTGAGCCATCAGTCTGTCCCCTTGATCCACTCCTCACAGCCACAGCTCCTCTTGGCTATGTCTGTCTGGATGACCTTGATCTTGGGAAATGTTCCATCCTAACCAGAAAAGGTCTGAGGCTGTGGGTAAAGTCAGCAAAGTCAGGGAGGCCCTTGTGAGCTTTAGGCTGCAAAAGTGGGATACAGAAAAAGGTTCATGTTCCTCTGTGGCTGTGGCTTGAGCCAACAATGAGAGAAAAGCGGGGAAGAGTAGTGCCAGCTTTAGACTTTGAGGCCTTTGTTGTTCTGCCCAGGTGCTTTTAAAAGAAAAAAAACCATTAAGGTCACAAATTTAAAAGAATATCCCAATGCCTACAAGGCTGTGAATGATTCTAAGAGATGACTTTCAGCTGTCATGTCAAAGTTTTTGGGCAGAACATTCTTGGGGAGCAGTAGTTTAATTTGAGTGATTGACACCTGTCATGTTAAAAATGTGAAATGGTGAGGACTCCATTTCCAAGAATGGAGACTATTCCCTTGTCCCAGAAGAGAGCTTAAAATCACAACCAGGCATTACTTTCCCAGGGTTTCTCTTAAATTTTTAGAGCTGGTACATAGTCTCATCCCACCCAAGATTTTATAGAGACTTGTTTTCCCCAACTCAGTCAATATATTTTTCCTAAACCTCCACTACCTAAATAAAAAAAATAATAAAAAAATTATTAATAATTATATGCATATATATATATATAAACAAACCTGCATCCCAAAAGCAGATCAATTATTCAGGGTGCTTCCTGGGTATAAAATCTCTGGAGCAGCAACATTTAAGAGGCTGTGGATCAGCTACTTTGCAGTGTCATGAAAATTTCATGCTCTCTTGGCAAGGAAGTTAGTGAGTCAGGCAAATAAGCTCTCATGCTGTCTCCCTGACCTGGATACAGGCATACACAGTTTCAGGTTGCAGCTCTATGTGTGTGGCTCAGAGAGGAGGGACCCAAGTGCATTCAGGCCTTTGACATCCAAGGAGTCTGAGTTTCAGATGTGCAACACCATTAAAAATGTTTTGAAAATTTCAGCCCTGGTGACCCTAAAAAAAACCAAACTAATAATGTTATCATTATCAAAAAAAAGCCTTACAGACAGATTATTGGTTTCTGAATGCAAAGGTTCAAGTCATGCACAGAACATCTACCTGATAGTAACTTTATTGGCCTGCTGGCACTGACTCCTGCTCCTGGCCATGACTGCTATAGTCTCAAGGCTGTGTGTCTCACCTGGTCTGCAGAGTGTAGCTGGAGGTGGAAAAGAAGTGGAAACAGAAAATATGTCAACTGGTTGCTAAAACATTGATGTTTAAAAAAAGCCAGGTGTGGGGAAAATGAGGGAAAAGAAAGAAGAAAAAGCAGAACAGTAGACCCAGCAGGCAGGTTTAGCCAAGCAGAAGCAATGAGTACAAAGTGAGAATCTGAATTTTTGAGTTACAGCTTGGTTACACCGACTCTGCTGTACTGTGTTGCTTTATTTGCTGCCCCCGACTGTCACACTGCCACGCTCTCCTGCAGGGCATCAGGACCAGTTAATTCACCTCGCAAATCGCTTCTCCGCTGGGGCTGTGCTGGGGATGCTCCAGCCTCGGGCTGTGGGTACCGACTCTGGCCAGACGATGTCGTGCTAATCCCGCAGATGCTCGGCAGCCGGGAGTTTATCTCCCCAGCCGCAAACACGGCAGTGGAGGTGCCTTCTGTCCTGCTGCATTAATGTCTTCCCAAGCTCTCCTTTTTGTACCAATCACACAGCACAGAAGGTGCCATTAAGGCTTTAAAATTTAATGAGCTCTAATAAAACCTCTCCCTGTGATAAACAATCCAAGAACAGGTTATGCTGCGGGAACATTGCATCGTGTCTGCCTTTATATCTTTCCTTCTTCTCTAACTGTATATTCCCAACCACTTTAATAGCCTTTCTGCATCTTTATGTTGTGGAGTTAGTGCAGATTAACTCCATAAAGATAGGTAGGTGTCTTAATTGTCTAATGTGGGGTACCTGCCCCACCTAGCTGGAGCATTTGCATTCCTGACATGCTGATAAATGCAAACCTGCCTAAACCTTGGCTTGGCTGAAATGATCATGCCTAAATCCTGCTTGATGACTTCCCAGCCCACGGAAACAAACGGGAAGTCCATCCTCCCTCCTGATTTGACCAAGAGTTCATCCTCTAAATTTACAGGGTGCAAGAAGCTCTGTAAGTGGCTATATCCCATAAGCTTTCTCAGCACATCAGTGTTGTTCACTGGAAACAGATGGTACTGGTCTAAGCCCTCTCTCAGGCTGTTGGAAACCCAGACTGAACTTCTATTTCCCATGTAGAGCCTCTCATGTCCTGAAAACGTGCTGTGAGCAGCCAACTGTTAGATCCTTTGGGGTCTGGTCTCAAAGTCTCCTGCTGAAGCTGTTCCATGTGGCATAAATAATTAAAGATTCACCAGACCACAGAGAAATGGAAGATGGACTCTCCTTCCCCATGGTCAGGACACTCATGTGTGTAATGTGAGAAAACCAAGTTGTAGGTTCCTGCTCCAGTGAACAGCTAACTAGCAGCACAAGTTGGACCAGCTCCAGCAGGAAAAGTTGAAACCCCTCTTCCCAGGACCATCCAGGGCCTGCTCATTTGGGCATTTCCATGGAGCAAGAGAAAGAAAACCAAGAGCAACCTGCAAAATCTTCAAGCCCCTTAACTACTGATTAAGAGCTGAGCTGTCTCTGTGGGAAGGACCTGAGCTACCTCACATGAAGCCTGAAGGATGAGGGGGATCAGAAGTGTCCATTCAGCTCTGTGTCTGTCTCCAGCCTTAGCTGAAGGCAGGTTCTGGTGGAAGAGTAAAACCACAGGGTAACTCTTTAATGATACCTTCCCAAGATACACACTGGATGAAAACACCTCACCTATGTTCTCCACAGTTTATTCTTGTGCCATACCCAGTTAGCACATTTCCTATGAACTTTAGCCCCTTATTTTTCTTGTACCTGTGGCAGAGGGCTGGGCAGCCAGATCCGAACTGGGAGATCCCTGGCGTGGCCGTGTGCCTCAGGAGTGAGCACAGTAACTTGTCTGCAGGTTTGCTGCTGTGCAGCACCAAACATCATGCATGTCTGAGGCCCACAGGCTCCACCACAGCACCTAAGTCTGGTTCTGTGGTTTGCCATTATAAGTGACACCAGTCTCTACTGTTTTTCACCTGATACTTTACTTTAATGACCTAGATGTGCAAGACTGTCTGAAGTGATTTTATTTTAGTCTCAGATTGTGTTTGCCCATTTTGCAAAAAGAAAGGAGAAAATAAAAAGTGTTTCTTCTTGAAATGAGCCTCCAGCAAGTGTTCTCTCAATTCCCCAGTCTGTTGCAACAATTTTAAAGAGGAGGCAAGGTGTGGAAAGAGAGTCGGTATTTTCCATTTGGTATATTTGGACAGAAAGGCAAATGCCCAGGTCTGAAGAAGAAAACTCCAAGTTAAGTTTAGAAGCTTCTATTTCAGACTTGGAAAACTGCAGGAGTATCTGAATTTATCCAGATCAGTAGTGGAGCTAATGAAAAGTGTTTCTTTGCAGAACTTCCCCAAAGGATATCCTTACATCACCTCAGCTGGCTGTGACACTTGGCAGAAATGAGTGAAGCTGCACAGGTGTTAAAACTCAATAGTATACCAAAAACCAAGGCTCTCATGTAGGCTCCTTGTTAGGAAGGTTTTTAAGCACCTTTAAACATGTTTGCAGTTCCCCTGATTTCAAGTCAAACTCCTTGCTTAGCACATTAGAAGGCAGAATGGCTTCACTTTGGAAGCCCTGGAGACTTGGTGGAGAAGTCGTTTGACCTCCTTGTGTCTCAATCCATCCAGAACATGAGAGTGAAAAATAAACAGCACCTCATTAAAAAAGAAATAGATAGTGTGACTGACCTGAGCTTGCCTTGGTAAATAAATTCCAAAGCCATAAAACTGCTTGAGGAGCTGCTTTGCCCCTTTGAAACAACACCCACTTGAGGCACTCTCTAAACACTGTGATGGGGGTGACGCAGAGTAATCGCCGAGGAGCTCTTATCATTATCTGCCTGTCAAGCCCCCATACATTCTTCCTTGTCTGAGCTAAGCAAAAATTACAAATCAGTGATGAGAGCTTGCAATAAACACCAAAAGAGACTGATTTACCCAGGAGCTTTCCCAACTGTTCTGGCCATGCAGAAGCATCACAAGGTCAAATTTATACCTCTGTCCTCTATTCCCAAAGGACTCACCTTGATAGTTCAGCTAGCCAGGGTTTTAGGTGCTGCTGCTCACAGTGCTGTTTGCTGGGATGCCCTGTAATTCCTTGTAAAGAGCAGGGTTTGTGTGGCTGGCATGAACAGTTGGACTGGATGATGCTGGTATTAAAGTGGGTATCTTCCAATTCAGGGTATTCTGTGATTCTATGAATAAGGAGCAAAACATCCAAGGACTCCTGGGAGAAGGGTCAGAGGAATGATCTGGGATCTTGAAGATGAAAAGAAACAGTCAACCAAAGTTTGGGACTGGTATGAGTCTCTTTAAGCACTGAGATGACAGTTTGTCTGAATGAAAATCAGTGCCTCTATTTCAGCATCAAATCTGAATGCAGAGTGGAAAAGTCCCATGGGTGTAAAAGAAAAAGTTGTCTCTAGAAAAATATTTGTAGGGAGTTCACCACAGATGGGGATGGAAGGCTCCATGTACCACACAACCAAGTGAAGCATGATCCCCTGGCACATCACTGCTTCAGAAACAAACCCAATGCATAGGAGCCCATCAGACAGAGCAAACTTCAGCTTCCTGCCCAGTGCAGCCTGGATTATCTGCCCATGGATTACCTTCCCATGACCTGAAACTCTCATCCTGCCCATTCCCTCATCCCTGGATAGCCTCTGTCTTTGGGAATGCAACCTGCCAGGGGGTCACATGAAGAGATTACAGCCTAGACATTTAAGCTACATCAACACCTGTTCCTGTGCTGTGTTCTAAAGGCAGGATGGCAACAGGATGTTTCCCCCCATGTACAAACAGAAACCTTCCTGATGAACTGTGGTCCCATCAAAGGGAAGTGCAGACTTGCTTTTCAGTAGCTGCAGAATCAGTCCTTAACTAATGGAACTGCTGAGGAGAGATAGTTTCTTGGCATGGCCTTTCTAGGCTACCTTTAAATTCCTGTGTAATTAAAAAGAAGCAAGGAAAAAACCCCAAACCACAACAAGCACCACTGCTGATTGCTCCCCCTATGTTTAATGAAGTCCTAAAGATTAGAGAAATGTGCAGAGAAGACACCTGAGCATGGCAGACCAGAGCTTGTGGGCTGTACCCAGTCTGCTGTTGGCACAGCCAGTGAGGCTGCAGAGGATCTCTAAGCGATTCAGGTTGCTTATTATCCAGAACAGTGAGGCTCAGGTACAGTGAGTGGAGAGAAACAACTGTGGCACTTACATTAGGTACCCAAATGCCCTTTGCCCTGGGCAGAAGGTGTGATTTTGTGTGTCCTGACAGCTCCTCTGCCTTCTGCTTAGCCATGTGAAAGGCTCCGTCACAAGCAGATGTTGTGATGAGGATGGAGCTTTGCCTTTGATTTTTACCATCTAAGCAGCTGTGTTGTGCCTCTGAATGAGTTCGAGATGCATTTGGAAAGCAGCTAAATGGTAATCTCCGCATTTGAGGGCAATCATGTTTATTATTTAATTTTGCTGCTTAGTATTGCATGACATTATTCATCTTGGGGTGGAGGGACAATTACTGGGAGAAGTGCAGCATTCCAGACAGAAGAGTAAGTTAGATTTCCATGATATAAATGTACTCCTACATGCAGTGCAGTGAAAGGACCTGTTTGCTCAGGATGAATGAAAGTATTTTGCTGGCCTCCTCGCACAGCAGCTCATCTCGGGCCATACCCTGTGGGCTCTTGCTCAGATGGGTTTCTTGATGCTATCACTAGCAGCAGCATACCTGCAAATGTCTTAGGGGTACAAACCTTGGCCAAGCCACCCCAGGAGCCCGTGGAGTTATCCTGACACACTCTGTTTTCCAGCTCGAGCTTTTTTTGGCAATCTGGGTGACTTTGTGGGCAGATTCCCTCAGGCTTGTATGTGCTGAGCAATATTTAATGGGACATCTTTGGGAGTAAGAGACCATTCAGTCTGAGTGGGGACTTGGGACTGGCCATGACTTGGAAATATTGCATGTAGTTAAGATCTGCACACTCCAGTGAGATAGTTAATGTGGTTAAAATCAATGGGCTGTGCTAATTTACCTCAGCTGAAGCCTGCATTTCACATGGCTTTTCAGTACTTCTTTTAAACTCTATTAATTCCAATGTTTAATTGCAAACAAACTAGATGATGGATCAGTTAAAGAAAAATATACTGTAAATGGTCAAGGATTTAACCTGTGCTATCTCTATGATTCCCATGCAGATCTTTCAGACCAGTTATTTGCATATGTTAAAATCTAATTTGAATTGTTCATCACATAGAACTAGGCAAGCTTTTTTTTTTTTTTTTAATGAGAGATGTAACTTCAGGGCACTATTAAATTCTAATTAAAAATCAGTCAAAAGCACCCTTTTCTTAGTGTTTGTGCCTGCAGCAACACTTCCACTGTGGTATCAAAAGCTCAGTTCATTACTTCTTAATTAATTTTGCCTTGAGAAGCTCTAAGTTCTCAGAGGACCTGTTGGGTTTTTAGAGTGTTGTCTACATAGTGTTTGCTTGTACACAGCAGCCACAATGACATTCAGATCAGGAATCCTTACCCATGTAATCCAATTTGGTACAATGTCTGCAGCCTGCCAGCGTTTGGGAACCTGAAAGATGCCTGAAGTTCACAATACAGAGGATATCCTGCCTGGAGCTATTGGTATGGTAGGGATTTTCCCATCTCCCTATTCCCAGTGTGTCTATTTTATAGTTGAAAAGGTTGGTATACAGGTTGATTGATTTTTTTGTGTGTGAGTGTTTTGGTTTTAGGTGTTGGTTTTTTTTTGTAAGGAAGATCATGATGAATAGAAAACTAGTCTTGCTCCTGTCCCCAAAGAAGTCTTGTCTGAAATACTTGAGTCAGCCAAGATTTTTTCCCTCTACCAGGCTACTGGAGATGTGCATGTTTGTTTTTTTTTTCAAGATAAGTATCCTGCAATCCAGATCTCCCACTGCAAATGATTCATTTCCCCTCTTGGCCTGGCTGTGTGCGCACGTGTCTGGTGGTGGTGAGCCAGAGCTGACCAGTGCCCTGGGACAAAGAAAGGAAAAGAAGGTAAAAGGGCGGGGGAGAATAATCTACCCAGTCTCAGGGGACATTTTTCACCAGTTTAGGGCATTTCCACCAGAACAGTTTTGGTAATGAACAGACCATAAATGTGCTTGGGGTGGCTTGAACATCTGAGCATTCCTTGAACTCTACAAGACAAGGGTTTGGCAGGAGAGTGTGAACCAAACTTGCAAATGTTCCCCTGAGCTGGGCCAAGAGGGACATCTGTAGCTGCTGTCTGTGCCAGGAGGGACCTGGATGATATAAATTTCTATTAGGAACCTTTGTATTAAGCCTAGTTTGCACAAGCAGACCCTGTAACTATCAAAGGCAATAGTTCAAATATGCCTTCATGTGTGTCCAAGTCTTCGTGCTGCAAGGCACAGAGTTAGATGGGTGGGGCTGAGGGAGCTGTGGAAAAAAACCAGTATAAATTGGGGGTGGGGAAGGCTTAAAGTGAGATTTTGAGGCAGTGTCAGCTTCCAGCTTTCCTCTTGGAGAAAGTGCACAGAAAGAATGGGAAAAAAATTAAAAACAGAAAGGGAAAAAGCCTTGATGAATGGATGTGAGCAAGGTATTTTTGATTTTGGGAGAAGCCCCCATCTTTCCCCGGGTTATCCTGTCCTTTTCTTCGGCAACTTCAAAGGAAGCTCCCCTTTCCTCTTCTCAAATGCTGATTTGGGGACAGAACACTGGCTGGATATTTTGCTCATCCTCTCCTCTGCTGGTGATGGTGAGGGGGACTGAGCAAGAAAACACACTGGGCAGCTTAAAAATTACCCTCTCAGTTCTCTCTTTTCAGAGCCTGTGCACACTGGCACCAGCAGAAGCAGATCTCAAGGCTGAGGTCCTGAGCCCTGTCTGCCCCTTCCCTGTTGTCAGAGCCACATGTAACAGCAGACTGGATGGATGAATGATGGATGGATGGATGGATGGATGGATGGATGGATGGATGGATGATGGATGGATGGATGGATGGATGCATGGATGGCTCCACATCTAAGTGGTCTCATTTCGTGTTGTGGCCAGGAGAGGTTGAAAATCAATACCAAGTTTGGTTCATAAGCTGCAGAGTTTGATTCTCCTGCTATGTCACAGATTATCAACACTCAACAACAAGCAGTTACCAGCTGAGATGAACATCCAGCTGAGTTCAGAAAGCTGCAGCCCAGCCTCTGTCAGGGAGAGATGCTCATTATTTCTTTCTGTCCTCAGGAAGGAGACAAAGCTGCAAACTTTTGATGCTGCAGTTGTAGATGTGCTCAGTCAGCGTGTGGCCGTAAGCTGTGGTCGGAGCTGTGTTGTGCCTACATAGACATGTCAGTTCTGGAGAGAAGAAGCTGAAAGTTTCCTCAATTTTTATTTCCAGGTTCATTCAATTTTGCCAAGTTTTTGTTGCTAACAGGCAGCAGACTTGAGCCTAATGTTCTCAGAGATGTCTTCATTCAAATGTCAAGAACCAAAAGGGATGTGAAGCTCAGAGAGGAGACAAGGGGAAGGAGGGACATGTTCTTATCTGAGATGTAGGAGCAAAGCTGGTCTGGCTTTCCATGGAGGAAAATCACTTCAGGACTGTGCCAAGGCCATAGTGGTTCAAAGATGGCAAGTTCCAGGGGAAAACAGTGAGGGCCTTGCCTGTTCCATGCAGCTGGACAGGACAGATTTTCGTGATACACTCCAGGATGTGATAGTCACCAGGAAAAAGTTTATAAGGGGGTGCAGAGAAAGGGCTGGGCAGAGTGTGAAGAGGCTGTGGATTTGCAGCCAGCAAACCTGAGCAGCACTAAAACACTAATTATACTCAGAATGCAGGAATAGCCTGAATTTCTGCCTCTGTTCTTCCCAGACTGACTGTTCCCACTTTGCACTGAGTGCTAATGAAAGGAAATACTCTTTGCTCAGGGAGCCATGGAAGATATTAGCTGAAATTTTGGGTGAGGAGGTGAGCAAGGCTGCAGATTAGTTTCAGCAGGAATCCCTTGTATAGCTGAACCCACCCCTCTTTCTGCTGAGAACACCCAGCCATGTGGCTGTCACTGCAGTCTGTGCAAAACCTCCTGGCAGAGAAAGCAAGCCACTTGTGAAAGACTTCCTAAGGGAAATGCTTGCATCCACTGAGGTTTAGCATACTTGAAAATGTACAAAAAGGAAAAATTCTTGTGTAGGACAGAGGATGGCTTGGATAAGATAAGATAAACAATCTTGTCAGGCTCTCAGAGCCTGTTTGTTTATACACCACATCGTATCAAGTGAGGGTATATTGGCAGCATCCTCCAGCCTGCACCTCCTCACTTGCATCTGGGTAGAAACCCATTGAAGAGACAGAGCCCAGCTGCAGAGCTGAGAGGGCAAGTGGACCTTCTCCCTCATCCCCTGCTCCCCTTCCAGTCCCTCTCCCTTGCTCACCTCTCTGCTACGCCTTCCACCAGCTGTCCTCAGGAAGAGCTGGCCTTTGGAGTACGTGCCCCTGACCACCCTGCACTCCATGCTCTGGGATTGCTAGGAGCGAGTTTCCAAGGAATTAATTTGTCATTACTTGCTAAATAAATGGTGTGTGATAAGAATCTGCATTCTGCTTCCATAAAAACCTGTAGATGCTGTTGCTGGTGTCCCAGTAGTTTCTCACAAGAATGCCCAAGTCACTTATTCTTCTCCATAAAAGCCGGAAAGGGCTGCCTGGCTCAGCTGATGTGGTTAGTTCTTGGGAGGGAGCCTCAGCACTTTCATTATCAGCAGTTGCCATGAAGTGTTGGACTGGGAGGTCTCAGCAGCACAGCAGGAAAAGGGTTTCATATCTGGAAATAATCTTGTAGAAGTCTCTCTTAGACCTGAAATTCTTGGCAGCAATCTTTCATCCAAATCTCCTGAGACAGCAAGGGACTTTCATCCTTTGGTAAATCCTGGCAAGTTTTACATAATTTTGAAAAGCAAAAGTTGTTGTTTCTTTTTTAACTCCCCAAAACAGGAATTATAAGAAGAATACATCTAGTCACTTTTTATGATGGACATAAACCAACATCTTCCACAAGTGATTTCCTCAATTGTGTCTTTAGGACAGGTTTGGCTCCAGAGCACCTGAACACCAGATCTGCAGACACCAATTGCTGCTGAAATATTTAATTAGCTGCTTAAATATCTCTTCAAATTAAGCCTGTGCTGCTTTGCATGTTTTAATATATTTACTCTCATAAAATCTCTCTGAAGCAGGACTGTATTTCAAGGGTTGGGGTACAAGGGCAAAGTAACATAAGGTCACATTTTCTGAAGAGCCTGGAGTAAATCCCAGAAGTCTGAAAACCCTTCCCCTGCAATTTGTCCAGTGTCTGGGGAATAACATTCACATCTCCATCCTCCAAACCTGGACTGTGCCAAGCAGGCATCAGCTAGAGCTTATTAGCTCCAGCAGTCTTAATTTTTCTGTTATTACATAGAGTGTTTCCATTATAGTAACACCCAGAATTGGGGAGGGAGGGGATGACTTTTGTGCTTCAAATAGGTCTTTACAAAAGGGCTAAAAAAATCCTCACAGAACACCCAAGATAACATTGTCGTCTGTAATCTTAGCAACACACCCAGAATGGAAAGCATTCTTGTTGTGAAACTCTCAGGTTGCTGTTTTGTTTGCTCCTTATTAAGAGTTAATAAACAAAAGTGTTTGGGTTAATTTTGTCATGTGTACTGTGAGTTGCTAAGGAACACGGCTCCACTCTGCCTGAAGTCTCTGTAGTGAGACGACTGAGAGATGCATGAAAGTGGTGTAAAATAAATGGGATGGAGCATACTACAGTGTGCCAGGCCCTGGCCTGGCATTTGGATTATTTTCTTTATTTGAGGTGTAGAAGAGCCAAAGATACAGAGTACAGCTGACATAGCAAGGACAAAGGTTGGCAAAGGTGGAATCTGTGCAGCTTTGGCTGAGACATGATGCTTTGCTGGGCTGGGTGTGATGTGCAGCAGGAGGGCAGGCACCAAAGGGCTGAGGTGGTCAGTGAGGAAATTATCACGAGATCTGGATGTTAATGGACAAGATTTTTGGTCAGCAACAGGTGGAGAGGGCTTGGTGTCTCTGAAGGTCCTACATGGCAGCCCGTCATAGCAGGGAAGGCACATCCCATGTTGTGAGGTGAGAGGTGACACGGGGCTACAATCCCACCACATTTCTCTGAGGCTTCCCAAAGAAAAGGCTCTCTGTGCTGACTTTTAGCTCCCAGAAGGGCCAGGAAGGCCAGGCTGGGAGAAAGGAAAAGCTGGATTAAATGGTGGCTGTGTGAGTGCTCTGAGCAGAAGCCTGTGTGTCATGGAGGACTGAGGGAAAGGCTGTGATTTTGCTGTAGCTTTCAGACAGATGGACTTCTCTTCAAAATGGTGATTCTCACTGTCATATGAATGCAAATTGAGAATCATTTTCTGCAGACAAGTACAAAAAAGAGGTACTGTGTGTAAAGTCTAATTTCACTCTGAAAACAAGTAGCAGAGAACAAGACACTATTTTAACAGAAATAGAGATGGAGCATGTTTCTGGGCTGGGAATTACCAGGGAACACTCTTAAAGGTTTTATCACATCTCTTTTGCAGGCATTGTTCAGTTTTGAAGAAATCCTAATCTGGATCAGAGAATTTCAATCTTTCAAAGGGATGTTAGCAGCAGAGTAGTTTGCCTCTGCCTCAGTCTCCTCCCACATCAGGTTTTTCTCAAGAAAGAGGTATGTGTTTCGGGCTGAGGATGCCAGAGGAATAATTGCTCACATGTTCTTAGGACCTTTTCTGTTCCAGGACTGGAGATACAGTCTGAATAAAATATATCAAGTTAGAAAAGTCTTACATTGGTCTATTTGTAGGGCAAGCCACAAATTTTCAGCATAGGTCACAGCTTTCAGAATTACATGCAAACACTCATGTGTTCAGGATACAGTTTTTAAATGTGAATTTTCCCCTTGAATTCAGTGACTTTAGATAGTATCAATTCTTCTGCAAATTGAGCAGGGGTTAGAGAAGAGGGGAGAGGAATGAAATCCAGGAATACCAATCAGCCAAGACAGATGCTGGAGGAATGTGAGCAGCGTTTCAAACTTTCAGGGCTTCCCAGATTTCTCAGGTCTAAACTAACATTTATCAGTGTGGAAAAGAACCCAAACCAACCATCCCAAAACTCAAAAACTTTCAGTTTTGATGAAGTATGTATGATAGCTGCTGGGTTTAGGAATCAAATGACCTCTTTCACTATGTACCTAGAGCTGTTTCCTTCCAGTAGCCAACCAGACAACTTCCAGGTGCCCACAGGCATGACAGGAGAGAGAGCTCCTCACAGCCTCTGGGGTTATGGTTAAATGCACCAGGCTGGAACTTCCCAAGATCCCACCAAGAATGCTTTAAAAGATACATTTAT